CCATGGCAAAAAGGACATAAAATTGGGTGTGACTCACTTAACAACCGCCTCACTCAACAATCAAAATTCTAATCTCAATTGTGGCCAAAGGTCAAGGACTATCTGTACTAAATCTTCCTTTTCACTTTCAAAAGTAACAGGCCTTCCTAAATCTCCATCAATAAGTATAATGAATGTTGTGGATCTGCCACAATTTTTAAAAAGCAGATAATGATAGCGTTCTGGGATCCAGCATCTTCTTGTGCTCATTACTATATTAGATGCAATACCCCCTTCTCCCTACTGAAATATTAGTAGTAACAGCTTCCCCTTGCATTTATGAAGTGCTAAGGGCATAAATAATACAATATAGCATTTCTTCACTCTAAAATACTTGCAATCTCATAGTTTGTACAAAGAAGTACTAATAAAGGAGAATATTTGTAGCTCAGGGTTGAAATGAGGGGTCCTTGGTGCTCTCTGAGCTTGTTTGTTTCCTTGCCCACATTTCATTACCCAAGGTAATTGGGTAATGAAAGAAGTGTCTTTGCCCTCCCTTTATGAATCCCTTGCACATAACTCCAATGTTAATGAAAGCCTTTTAACTCAGAACTGAGAATATGCAAAAACGTCCGGTTTTGCGTCGGAGCGAGATGGACACAGGGAAGCAGGGCTATGCCTCCCGCGTTCGGTAAAAACAGCCTGAACCCTAAAGTCACCCCAGAGAGGTGACAAAGAAAGAGGGGACTCTGATAGATCACAGATTGGTGGCGGTCAATCTGTTCAATCCAAGGAAGCTCTCTAAACTAGCTGGTGAAAGACTGGCCGCAGTTTGGCAGCCAGTCAGAAACTTCTGACAGCCGAGGAAAAAAGCACCAACTAGCAAATTTAAGCAATGCGTTTGGAACTGGGTGAGAGTACTTTTTTCCTGCTCTACTTTTTTAAAAAATTTCCCTGAAAAAAGAATCCCAAAAAAATTTCCCTGAAAAAAGATCCCAGAAGAAAAGGGGGGGGTCCTGGTGCCCCTTAAATACGTGAACCCAGACAACACATTGTTTATTAAGCACTGTTTATTAAGTACTAAAGACTTGTAACTATAAAACTTAATAAAACATATGTGTGTGTGTGTGTGTGTGTGTGTGTATGTATGTGTGTGTGTGTATATATATATATATGTAGGTCTTTAGTTATTCGGGTTTTCTCCCGCGTAGAATTAGAAGTGTCTTGGCGACGTTTCGACAAAGTCACATTCGTCATCTTCAGGCTGGTGTCTTCAGCTTCCTGCTTCTGGGAGAAGCAGGAAGCTGAAGACACCAGCCTGAAGATGACGAATGTGACTTCGTCGAAACATCGCCAAGACACTTCTAATTCTACGCGGGAGAAAACCCGAATAAAGACCTACATACAAACACCCGCGAAAACCTCAGAAAACATATATATATATATATATACATATGAATAAAACCGAGCACCAAGAGAAGTAAAGTATAAAAGTTTAAAAATTTACTGAGCCAAGCTTTCGTCAGAACCCGTCTGACATCATCAGGGCGTTAAAACAGCAGTCTGGGAGAAACCCTTATAAAGTGTGTGTGTCAATTGCTTGCATCCGGCTTCTGCTACGCGTCATCGGACCCAGCTGTTCCTGCCGTGCTAGANATTGACACACACACTTTATAAGGGTTTCTCCCAGACTGCTGTTTTAACGCCCTGATGATGTCAGACGGGTTCTGACGAAAGCTTGGCTCAGTAAATTTTTAAACTTTTATACTTTACTTCTCTTGGTGCTCGGTTTTATTCGTTTACTATGATTCCCAAGAGTCGGATTTTTAGCATAATTAATTCTCATATATATATATATATATAAACTGAGAATATGCTTTATCATACCAACATATACTTACTGGGTACAGCTCAGCTCACATACAGTATCTTTCCAGTTGGTATAATCAGAAATTCCCCCTGCCATAATGAGCACTTTATGCTTCTCGGGGTCTATCTTGAAGTCCTTAGACAGAATAGCATGGAAATAAACTGTAATGTTCTCCATAGGTGTCTGACTGCAAGACAGAATAATAAAAGATGGCTTATATACACACACACACACATACATATATATACATATGCACACACACATATATATACATACATACACACACACACACACACACACACACAAACTTCAAATAAAGGGTGCACAAAGTTTCAAAACTACTGCTGAAAACATAGTAAAATAAACACGCTATCAAAATACAGTAACAAATTAAAGAAGCAGTAACTTGATAGTGATAGCCATTGTGAACTCTCAAAAACTGAAGTTAATAATATTATCTTTAGCATGCACCCAGCTTGTAGTAAAATTGATGCAGCCTTTATTTCTTTTGAAAAAGGAAAACATAAGAGTAAAACTCTCTGGTTGACCTTGAAAAAGGAAGTAGCTTTAGTCCTGTTAGAATTTGAATGGAACTACAAGGCAATCCCAGGACTATAAGTTATACCAAGAAGCTGAAAATTGACACAGAAAGTTGAAGCAACGAGTCACTTTTATATTGTTGCCAAAAGAAAACCTCATGGATTGTCCAGATCAGGGGTATAAAAACCTGGTCCTTCAACTCCCAGAATTCCTCAGGGAGGGGAGAAAGAATAATCAAAAGCACTATAAGTTTACACACACGCACACAAAAATAAAAATTAAGCAATCAAATATAGGTTAAGCATATTGGAATTGCTTTCAAATAGGGGGATATTTTTGATCAAGCCTGTTAAGAAGCCGTATCGTTTCCACTGCTGCATATTAGAAAAGTCTATGAAGGAAGAATCATGTTACAGTTCTACTAAATCTGAAACTTCCGATTCACCTAAATAAGGATAAAAAAGAAAATAGGCTTTTGTGGAGTTGTGTTACAACTATTATTAGACTATTATATTAAATGTCAACATATGTATGTATGTATGTATGTATGTATGCATGCATGCATGTATGTCTGTCAATGGCAAATAATTACACCGTACTTTTTTTTGACAGCAGGGACTTCATGATTCCTCTCTTCCGCACTGGCTTTGTTTCTTGTCTGCGGCTTTTGATTTCCAGCAGCAGCAGAATCCCTTTCTTCCCCAGACTCTTCCACTGGAGTGCATATTTTTTGTCCCTTTTCAGAGACATACTCCTGTTGGGCCGCATTTAGCTTTTCTTTCTGTAATAAAGGCATATCAGATATACAAAAGCAAGCATTAGAAAGTGTCCATGCAAATAAATCAGTGAGTAGCCTAGAAGGGTTTTTGCTAAACTGCTGTGTGACAATTACTTAGGATAACAAAAAAAACCAAAAAAAAAAAAAAGGAATTGCTCATTTTTATGATGTTTACTATCTGGTTGCTAGAAAGGTGCTCTTGCGTTATACAAAAGTTTTCCTATCAAGAGATTTCAGATCACCAAATATAACTCATGCAACAAAGAACATTAACATTGGCACATAAAGTATGCTGCTTCACGTTTGTCAATTAGTTTGTTCTATTTAAGCAGAAGTAGAAGAAAATGAAGTTAACAATTTGCTGCATGTGAAGTCCTAGTAGACATTTTTCATTATTCTCTTTCTGGAGATTGCTATGGTCTTTAGTATGAGCCTGGAAGGTTTAATTCTCAGCCACTGATAGCTCCTATTTCTCACCACACAGCACTGAAGTTTGGCGTCTCCCAGGGTAGGGTAGAGATGTCAATTATGCTAACAATAAACAACTGCCCATTGTTCAAGGCTGAGAAGTCTCAGGTAAAAATGACCATTAAACCATGGGAAGATAAGAGAAAGTGCTGGAATCTGCTAGGAATAACAGGGAATTGCACCATCATATTAACAGAAAGTGGCTTTTTCCTTTTTTGCAATAAAGATTCTCCTCTAATCACACCATGTATTCTTGTTTTGGACTTAAGCCAGGTAGAAATCTAAACACTAGTCAAGTCTTCCCAAGTTCACAATTCTGTTCTTAGAAAATAAGAAATATTCAGGATGATTCTTAGGAGGTTAATAAGGTTCATGATATTTTATACAAGATTGTAGGCTAGCTCTCTAGTACAAGCTGCTGCTGCTAAAATTGCTGGAATACCCGGGACCTTTTGGGCACCAGGGACCGGTTCTGCGAGCCGGAGAGTGCATGGTTTTGTATGCTACCTGCATCTCGGGGATGGGGCTTTGCTTGTTTGTGCGGCCCAGTTGCTGGCTGGGGGTTGGGACCCCTGCCCTACACCACTCTTCAACATGCTATTTAGCTGGCTAAGACTGTGGGTGTAGATAAAATGCTGGGTCCATTTAAAATCACAAGCAGTTGATTTCAGTAGACTCAGAAATCTAGATCTGCTAAGTATTCAGATATTACATTCTTCTCCCTTGTTCTAGAACTATGGCACTACCTACAGCAAGGGTTCCCAAGCAATAGTCTCGGAAATACTGGTGGTCTGCAAAGCGCTACAGGTAATCCATAGAAGAGGCTTCAAAATTACCTTTAAACATACTTCATAAAAATTGGCAGTCTAGATGCTCTGCAGGAGTGACATGGATAACCCCACCCGTGGATATCAAGTTGTCACACCTCTTACATGTGGCCTGTAAAACTAATTATCTCTCAGGATGTACAAATGCTTCGAATCCCCAAGATACAGCAAATATTTAATTACAGGGCAAGATACATTTATTGCTTCACAAAAAAATAACCATCTATGAGATTTATGTATCATTTAGCTTACACTCTTTCTTCCTAAAAAGTCCATTCAAGGTGGCTATCAGCCTAGCAAGGTAGTCCAGACAGTTGAACAAATTCCACTTTATTGTAAGGTTACTCTATCAATATCTCAAGTCTGAAAGTATATTTCTCCATTACCTTTACAACCTATGAACTAGGGAGTGTCCCTTTTTCACACCCACATTCCTTCTGTGGGCTCATCTCCTTATCCAACCGTTCCCCTAGCCATGGCTCTTCCCACATCATTCCCACATACTATTACACTAACAAAAAAGAGACCAAGATATATGCTACCACATATAAATTGAGCAATTTACTTTTGAACTAGCACTCTTCTGTTGCTTGGCCTCTTCCGTAACTTCTGTTGAACTGCTATTTTTCACTTCAGATTTAGGCAAACATCTCTTCATTCCAGAGTTTTGATATTCAATGCTCGATCCTGTTTTTTCCCCCTCCGTAGATGTAACATTAACATTGAGATCTGAAGATCTGCTGTCCGTGTCTCCCTTAGAAACAGGTTGCATAACACTTTCATTTGATATATTGGTTATATTCTCTGAAAGTTGTCCAGGTCCAACAGAACTGGTGGCACATTGTTTCTTGCTAGTATCTCTCTGTTCACCAATTATATCAACCTTTCTGGAACTATCCTCCTCCATCTTCTCCCCCGTGACAGCAGTAACAGCAGGTTGACTTATTGCATCATTTTTCTTATTTTGTACTAGCTGATTCTGGATTTCTGTTCTGCTCACAAATTCTTGACCCTGATCTGCACGGAAGGAGGTATTTCTAATCTGGCCACTACTATCCTCAATGGATGGCATTAAGTCAATCGACTTAGTTTCTGAATGTTGACTTTCTTCTACTGGAATTCTCACATTAGCCACATCTGGAGTAAGTGAACAATCAAGACTGGATGGAGCTGAACTTAAGCTTGACAAGGAACTATGCAATTCACTATCTGGAGAAGTCTTCTTCTTGTTCCTTTTCCTGTTCTTCTACAAGATGGAAAGAAAAACAAGGTACTTAAAAATGGAAAATCAGATTTTAGTGCATCACAAATAATTCAAATAACTAAAACTATCCCTTTCTCATTAAACACAATAGAAACTCCTAGATTTTCAGCATTTTATCATACTATTAGCTGTATTTTTCTGTTGGACTTTTAAAATCAAAATTATAAGAGACTGGAGTATCAAAGCTTGTCTCCCTTCTTGTGATGCTTCAAATGATTGCAAACTTTGCTAGTTTGCCTACAGTTTGTTACAAACAAAATTTAACTGCATTCTACCCCAGGCAAGCCATGCAATAAAAGAGTAGCAAGGACTAAGAGCTGGGGGAAAAAATGAAAAAAATATAATGAGGAGCACAGAAAAAGAAAAGATTGATTAAAAGACTCAACAAAAGAAACCAGTTATAAGTAGCCCTCAACTTATGATCACAATTGAGCCCAAAATTTCCATTGTTAAGTAAGTTGTTAAGTGAATTTTGGCCGATTTTACAACTTCTTTTGCCATAAATGTAAAGGTTTCCCCTGTCCAGTCATGTCCAACCTCAGGGGGGCAGTGCTCATATTCATTTCTTAGCCAAGGGAGCCAGCTAAAAACCGTAACTGGATTTCTTTTGACCTTACTGTGAAAGTACAAAACAATAAACCTTTCCTTGGGTGGTTGTTTTCTCATTATTATTCTTTTCATTCATATTTTAAACCAGCCTGGACTTCCTCCCATGAAAACAGAGGGTCTTCCAGGGAAAGAGGTTACACGATACCTTCTTAATTTGAATATTGGATATATTTTCTTTTAAAATTCGTCAGGTTTTCCTCCATATGTAGAAAAATCTAAAGAATTGTACCATTTGTGATGGTGGGCCACTTTTTATTTTAAGCAAGGAAAAATATCTCAACGATATTGTGAAAAACTAAAGAATGCACTCAAAGCTGCTTAAAGAAAAGCAATATAAACTGTGAAATATGAGTTCTACATTTTGCAATTTATTTTGTTTTGGGTAAAGAAATCCTTTTAAATGTTCCCCATTTCTTAGCCTTGCTGTTTGGATTCTGTCTCCAGCAATCAAATGTACCCAATACAGTGAATCAATTTTCATTTTCATTCTAAGCAAGGGTGACTTGCTTAAATATACAGACAGGAGAGAATTGACATATCCAAAATTACTGGATTGTTTTCACTGGAAATCAATTTCACACTGACTAGCAAAACAGACGTGTTAAGCCTCCATAAGGGTTAGTGCATGTTGCCCATTAAAAGCTTCTGATGCCACACAACAGAAACTGTTCAGCAGCCTTTACAAAAAATGGAAAAAGGAGAGCCCCGGGATGTTTTCTAGCTAATAATGAATTGGAGTGTTTCATGGAATCCATCTGGCACTCAACTGTCAGTACTGAAGAATAGTATACAGGTAATCCTTGACTTAAGACAACAGTTGCTAAGTGAGTTTTGCCCCATTTTACAGTCTTTATTGCCACAGTTGTTAAATGAATCACTACAGTTAAGTTAGTAACACGGTTGTTAAGTGAATCCGGCTTCCCCATTGACTTTGCTTGTCAGAAAGTCTCAAAAGGTGATCACATGACCCCTATCATAAATATGAGTCAGTTCCCAAGATCTGAATTTTGATTCTGTGACCATGGGGATGCTGTAATGGTCATAAGTGCGAAAAACAGTCAGAAGTCACTTTTTTCAGTGTTGTTGTAAATTTGAAGAGTCACTAAATCAGCGGTTCTCAACCTGTGGGTCGTGACCCCTTTGGGGGTCGAACGACCCTTTTACAGGGGTCGCCTAAGACCATCGGAAAACACATATTTCCGATGGTCTTAGGAACCGAGACACCACTCCGCATCTGTCTCCGCACGGCTTCGAGCTGGGGGCTGTTGCAGCGCCGGATTCGTTTCCGTTGAGCATCTCCTAAGGGAGGCTGCGCTGCTTTGCGGCCCTTTCCGCGGAGGAGGCTGAACCAAGCTCTGCCAGCGCTGTCGCCCTCTTGGTTCTCTCTCTCTCTCTCTCTCCCTCTCCACGCCTGGGTGCTTCTCCAACTAGGCTGGGCGGAGCGACCTTCCTGCCCCCCCTCCTCGGCCAGCTGGAGCCGGGCAGGCCAGCGACCTTCGGAAGTGAGGCGAGGACAGGCGAGGCGCGCTGAGCCCCGGGCGCGGCAGGTGAGTGGGCGGCGCCGGTGCGCGCTTGGAGAGCCCTTAGGGCAGTGGTTCTCAACCTGTGGGTCGGGACCCCATTTGGGGTCGATCGACCATTTCATGGGGGTCGCCAAGCAAGGCTGTCCGCCATTTTTTTTGTCCGCCATTTTTTTCCCCTTTTCCGGCGGGTGCCTTACCTCCCTTGGGCTGGGCCAGCTGGTGGTCGGCCTGCTCCGTCTCTGCCGCTTGCCAGCTACGCCTTGGCCGGCGCAGGGGGCGGAACCACGCATGTGCGGCGCTCCCGGGCAGGGAAAGTCCTCGACTTACGACCGGTTTAGTCCTCGACTTACGACCGGTTTAGTCCTCGACTTACGACCTGTTGGGGTCGCGGCATGAAAAAGGTTGAGAACCACTGCCTTAGGGTTGGGGGTCACCACAACATGAGGAACTGTATTAAAGGGTTGTGGCATTAGGAAGGTTGAGAACCACTGCACTAAATGAACTATTGTAAGTCGAGGACTACCTGTATATTTAAAGAATGTATTATGAAAGATAAAAAATACCATTTATATTTCCCTTTAAGAGAAAAAGGAACAACATTCATTTTCTCCATGGCTTGTATAACTGTTAGAGAAACTTAACAGTTAATGCATTCAGTTAAGGTTTCCCACGTAATAAAATGCACCCATATTTTAGTATGATACATCACATGAAAACCACTCCTTATTGGACATAAAAAGGCCAAGAAAAAATAAGTACCAAAAGAGGCGATGTATATTTTTTTAAATATACTGGAAAGTCTGGGATTTGGGATTCTTCTAAGTAGAACAGGCAAATAATACAAAAGTTCAAGCTGAATTACTCATGCAGATGGATTTTATAGCAACATAAACATACAAAAAAATACGCTACTTAAATATTGTTTTAAGCAGACATTTAACATCTAGAGTAGACCAATTAACAGCACATACAACTTTCCCTCTGATGTGCTCATTAGTACAGATAGTCCTTGACTTACGACTGATAATAGAGCGTGCCCATTATGGCCATCAGTCATTGCAGTCATCCAGCAAGGCATTCACGATTGCTTCGCTCAGTGACTGTTCTCCTGTCTCTCACAGGTGCAGTCACTAAGTGAGCTTGCAGGTCATTAAAAGAGTGAAGCAAAAGAGCTTCCTGCTGAAATAGTTGCCTGTGCACAGAATGGATTTCCTGCATTGGACCAGAGAAAACAAAGCTGGGATTCGCAAAGAGCTTCGTTTCTCTGGTCCACCCCAGGCGTTCCCCTCCCCTCCATTTGCAAAAGGGAAAACGAAACTCAGATTCTGAAGCACCAGTTCCCCTTTCACCCCTGTGCTAGAAAGTCTAGCACACGATGGGGAGGGAAATCTGGAAATGGAATTTATCTGGAGTTTTATTTGGATTCTCAAGCTGGATGGTGACACTGCCCCACAGAAGGGAGAAATCCATTTGACAGGCAGCCCTGTCATTCTCAAAGATGCTGCTTGAAAAAGTCCAAGACGCTGCAAAAGCTAAGGGGGATTTTAGCGCAGGGGCACTTGAAGCCTGACTCCAGGTGCTCCCTGCTACAAGTGGCCCAGGATAAAATCCCTCTTGGCTTTTGTCATGGACTTTTTCAGCCAACGCCTTTGAGAGGGCTGCCTGGAGGAGGGAGTCTGCCCTCCACATGAGGCAAAGTCAACCTGGTAAGCAGCCCTTCTGCTCTTAAAGAGGCTGGCTGAAAAGGTCATTCCCAAAATGGGCCCTGACGGATCTTTTTCAGGCAGACTCCAGGACCCAAAGGGGGGAGACCTGCGACAGCAGCCTGCAACTTTTCCTGTTGGCTTCCCTGTTGACTTTCTAAAGAAGCCAGCAGGGAAGACTGCAAATGGTGATCACATGACATGACCATAGAGGGCCTGGCAACCCTTCATAAATGCAAATGGGTTGCCGAGAGCAGGGATGGCAATCACATGACCGTAGGAACACTGCTACAACTATTATGATCGAGCACTAGCTGTAAGTCCCTTTGTTCAGCATCCTAATTTTGCATGGCTGCTGAACAAATGGTCGTAAATCAAGGAGTACCTCTCTATGTTGGACTAGAGCTGGGGAGAGGGAGAGAGACATCCTTCAGACTTTATGGGATCTAATTCATATTTCCATCACCAAGAATGTCCTTCTTTTCAGCTTTTTGTATCAACAAATCCTAAAGGGATCCTTTTCATCCTTTTTGTATCAACAAATCCTTTGACCTTTCAATTTTGTTTCATATTCAAAACAAGAAGTCCCAAATTTCAGAACAATTAGACTTGCATCTGAGCAGGCAACAACTTGTGACAATTAACAGAACACCACGTACTAGAAAAACTACCTGCTGAGGAACTGGGCATAGTTTACTGCCCTCCTGTAGGCATAGGTTCTCCCTTCGTTTTTTTTTCTGGAAGGAGGATGATTACTGTCATCCAACATATCCCAGTCACCAGCATTCAGAGGTTTTTTTGCCTGTTGAAAAACAGCCTTGCTTTCAGAGAACTTATTATCTGGGAGCAAAATACAAATGTTAGCTTTTAATGCAGTCACAGGTAAAACAAGTAAATGCAGCAAAAGCGAAGGAGCAGCTCCGAGATTCCAGCAAAGAATAGGAAGAGGGAGTCATTGAAAATTCTTACTGCAAAAAAGCGACTTTTCTGGACAAATCACAACTGGTATCCAAATACGCTTACTCTACTTACTCGCTTTTGGGAGGCTGAGGTGCCCTTCCCAAGGCTTTCAGACGCCCCAGGCATTTGTTCGCTAGATGGCTGCTCATTCACCAATGATCCTGACAAAGGGGAACTCTCCACCGTCAATTCTCCATCAGGTTCCATCTCTACCAGTGAAGTCTTTTCTTCATCCCTCCTGTCTGCAACCAAAATATGACATTTTTTGAAAGTCAATTAAAGAGCAATCTGAACTCAACTGAGAGGCTGCAATGTGAATCTCAGGGACAAAGAAAGAGAAATGATTGGGCTTAAGTTACTGAAACTATCAGTTTTCTACCAAACCTTTTTATTGCAAAGTGTATTTACATTCCCAGGCCTGCACTACAGGGAACATCAACCATTCAGTGCTTTTTTATTTATTTATTTATAAAAAGTTTATTTATAATACAATTAAAACAAAAATGGACATACGTGGCATTCCAGAATAAATATTCCTAACAGTTTGTTTCTCGTGATACAAAAACTTAATACATCATCCTTAACCTCTATATAAACCTCATTCTTCTACACAATACAATTATATATACAATTATATGTATGTTTCAATCCTATCGTTAACTTAAGATCCGAGCGGTTCTCCTTGATTCATACCAGCGATAAAATTTGTCCCAGATTTTGAAATATTCCAGTTCTGTCTTGTCTTTCATAGCCATAGTAAGCCTGTCCATCTCAGCACATGATAAAATTTTATACAGGATTTCTTCTTCTGTTGGAATTCCTTTATTCCTCCAATCTTGAGCATAACCATTCAGTACTTAAAGTGCACGCTGTTACCTCTTTCATTTAAAAGCAACTATGCACATAACCTAATAGCATGTATATCTGAAATGCTCTCCATTTCTCTGGTAGCAGCACTCATTCAATTGGAGGGGAACAGGACTGGTACATATTTTATGGGAGATTTTTAGATTAATTTCATTAGAGACTTTGAAAGATTTGCTGAATTAAATATTAAGCTGAACCTAATTCAAGAAACTAAATTATTATTCAATGTCATGTAGCTTACTCTAAGTTAATATACTCCAGGTGACAGGAAATAATATAAGTAACAATCATTTATTCTGAAATGAGTTTTTAAAAAAAGGAATAGAGAAAAGTTAGAGGAGAAAGGCAACATATGTATCTTTATTACTTTACAGCTTTTTTTTTAAATGCAATCTTGGTAGAATACAGTGGTTCTCAGCCTGTGGTCTGCTGACCCCTGGAGCACGATGTCATCCCAAGGGATCCATGAAGACTGAAGACTTGTAGAAATGTTATGATTTAAATCTTGAGTTAAGTCTTAGGAGTCCTGGCCATGGTCCACGGCCACAAAAGGTATTTAAAGGAAGTCCAGTGTGAAAGAAAAGATTGAGAACTACTGCTCTACCATATTCAGCACATGACAGAGAGCAAACTAGACAGCATAAAGAACTCTAGAAATTCCATTTGTAATTTTTTCTACACCCCATATTTTTATTTTAAAAAATACGTTCCAGTTCTTATTGAGAAACAGTTGCATCTGATCGAGTGATTCACGGCTGGGACTACAAAGAACTTACTTTGCACACTGCAAGACGGAGTCAACTGTCCTCCACAATTACTGTAGAACTTGTGTGATGCATTTTGAGTGTCATGACGTTTAGGGCATTTAATGCCCTTCTTGGGTGACCGGCGACCCAGGGTGAGCTTTTTACAACCTGTCGGGAAGCAAAATAAGCAAAAACGGGAGGAGAGTTATTCATACAAGTAGGAGGGACAACTGCGCTGCCGCGGCAAAAAGAAATCAGCGGAAGAAGGAAACGTTTTCGGTGCTGTACGATAGGCGCAACCCTGCCGCCACCGCCGCAGCGTCCAATCAACGCCGACTATGCAAATGAGGGTCGATTACTTTCGTTTTCCTCTTCAGCCACCTGCGCTCAGTCTCACCAATGAGAAAACTTAAGTCTGAAGAAGCCCAGGTTAACACTGTCACACCCAGCATTCCCTGCCAAAGGATCCCAACCCATCGTTTCCCAAAGCATCGCAACCACGAAACACTTGCTTTTCGGAATAAGGTCTTTTGTTGCGTGAAAATATCACTTTCGGTTTTGAAAAACAAGCGCCTACTGTATTACTCCTTGTCTAACACTCCTTACGGCGTAATTTAGAACAGCGGCAGATCCCAGAAGAGGGAGGATACCTTAACTAGCGTTTAGCCCAGGGGTAGGCAACCTCGGCTCTTTTATGACTCATGGACTTCAACTCCCAGAATTCCCGAGTCAGCTATGCTGACTCGGGAATTCTGGGAGTTGAAGTCCATGAGTCATAAAAGAGCCGAGGTTGCCTACCCCTGGTTTAGCCAAAAACGAAACTATAGACGGTTTAAGCCCTTTGGCACCTTAACAAACTGTTCTTCGCGTCAGATCACCGGTGCCACACCCAGAAGGGCTGCAAATACAAGAAACTAAAGAACCACAACCCCCCCCCCCAACTTGGGAAGTTATTATCCCATAAGGAAAACGATCTTGCAGGAAAGGCGGTCCCGTGTTTCCCTTTTGGTCACAGCCCCTCGTTTCCCGCTGCAAGCCAGAACCATCTCTCCATTTTCCCATAGCGACAAACGACCGACATCCCCGTCCTACCGCGACACTATGAGTTACAAAACGTCAGATTGTGTGTTTTTTTTTCCCCAGCGCCATAAGCCTGAATAAACGCTTCACATCCCAGCCGGAAGAGATGAGCGTCGCAACGCCATCCTTTAAGCCGAGCTCCTCGGCTATAAGGAGCTAACGGGGCTCACCGTAAAGCAAGCGAGTTATCTGCAGGGACGCATCTCCGGGGCGCCTTACTCACCTCAGCCGAGATCAAAAGGAATCCAGTGGGCCGAGAGCAGCACCGCGCAATTAAAGACTTTCCCCCAAAACTCTTCTGCTTCAACCTGCAGACGCAGCCGGCTGAAGGAAGAGTTCCCGGCGAAGTTTGGTTTTCGCCGCTGCCTGCCCGTTTTATTAGAAGATGCACAAACTATCGCTTTCCAAACGCCACCCTGGCGCCCCGCCTCTGTATTTAGTTTGCAGGCTGCTGTAGGACCCAGTCCTACAGCGGGGGATTCCAGAAAGCGCGTGCAGGAGGAGGAGGATTGAGCGCTGTCCGCCCTCACAGCGGAAAAGTCCAACCCATCCGGACTCGATTGAGCCGGCTGAATTTGCTTCCCCCAGGCGGGCTGCTGAAAAATGCCTCCACCACTTCTTGCGGTGAATTGCCCAGTGGTGAATGTGAGAAAGCGCGCACACTGGACAGATTAGTGAACTGTTAAATTTGACCTCCCTATTGTTGAAGGAAAAGTCTTCATCATGATTCATCCAAGCCGAGGATAAACAACATGGTGACTGCTTTAGAAAGAAGAGCCGGACAAAAAGATGATTCTGGCAGGAAAGAGGAGAGAGAAAAGGGCTGAGCACGTGGGGAGTGGGTTTTTATACTCTCTGAAACCTTTTGTTTGGAGTTATTTCCTGTTCCTGTTTTGAGGCTATTTCCTATGTCACGTATTCTTACCCGAGTTTGGATGTGCCCTTTGGCCTTTGTGAGTTAATCCTACCACGTCCTGTCAAAGGTGGGGTATGCAAATTTTAGGTCTTTGTCTTCCTAAGCTTCTAGCCCAGGTCTCCTATACCTGCATTTGTACAGAGCTTGGGGGAGGGAGAGCTGGGGCTATTAAGCAAACTGGGCATGTTTTTCTGCCTCTTTAAGATCCTTGGAGGAAATATATTTTTCTGCCCTTTTAATATTTCCTTCTCTGGGGGGCTGACTTCCCACACTATTGAACCAATAGATGAAGACAACTGAAACTCCATTGCCAAAGAAGCGATCATGCAGCTGATTGTAGTGCAAATTCTGTTGCATTTCATGGAGAGATATCCAGGCTAGACAGATAATCCTTGACTTACAACCAGTTGTTTAATGACCGTTCAGAGTTATGACAGCCTTGGAAAGGGTAGTCCTGGCCCTTGTGAAATGTCACGCTGCAGTCACATGATCACATTTTGGGTGTTTGTTTGCCCTTCCGATTGGTTATCAAGTTGCCCTGTGATCGCTATTTGTAATCTTCTCTGCCAGCTTCCTCAGAAGGTCAGTGTGGAAGCCAGAAGGGAAGGTTGCAAGCTGCTGTGTCCTGCTGAGAGGCCTCCCTCTTGTCTCTGGGGCCTGATTGAAAAAGTTGCCTGACAAGGAGAGTTGAACTCCCTGTGCTGAAGGAAAAAAAAAGAGTTGGATCCCAGAGATCTGAACTCTGTTTCTACAGCATGGCAGAGGCATTTTCTGTGCCTATTCAGTCCATCTGCCAGGCTGCAGAAATAGAGCTCAGCCTCAGACCATGGAAGGCCAAGCTCTGTTTCTGCAGCTCCCCCTCTCCCATGGATCTAGGCCAGGGGTCTTCAAACTTGGTCCTTTTATGACTTGTGGATTTCAACTCCCAGAATTCCTCAGCCAGGCATGCTGGCTGAGGAATTCTGGGAGTTGAAGTCCACAAGTCATAAAAGGGCCAAGTTTGAAGACCCCTGATCTAAGGGAGCAAAAGTAATGTGGCTGGTTTGTTACTCTGCTGGAAAATGGAGAGCTGGAGATGTCAAGAACTTCATTCTCAGTTTTCAGGTAATTAAACCTCTCTGTCATCTAATGGGTTCCTCTATTACAGTATTTTCATGCAAGCTGATGAATTTCTATAAAGAAGCTGTGATGGAAGCCCTCGGTGTTGGATAGAGCTCTGAAGTTGAACACCCAGTGGGTCTTCAGTTTCTTTTGCATTGTCCCTCTTAGGACTGAATTTAATATGGAAAGGGATTCTCTCCCCATGTGTATTTTTCATCTGGATTAATTTCCATTGGTTAAGGGGTCTGCAGGTCAGTCACATTTATGACAGCGATAAGATTCTTCTGTCTTGAATCAATGTTCCATCTCTCTGTTTGCAAGCATGTGCAAGCAGTTCTCCCTCCACATCAAAGCAGCTTCCAGAATCCAGTTGCTTAGCTTGTGACAAAGGCGGGAATGAAGTATAATAATAATAATAATAAAGTTGGAAGGGACCTTGGAGGTCATCTATTCCAACCCCCTGCTCAGGCAGGAAACCCTATACCATTTCGGACAAATGGCTGTCCAGTCTCTTCTTAAAAACTTCCAGTGCCCTGATTGTTTCCAATTTGTTATCAGTCAATGTAATCAGCAGTTTAATTATAGAGCAGACTAGTGTAGAACATCCATTCAGTTCAATATATGATCACAACTTATTCTGTGGAAGAGTCACAAAGAAGTTAATAAAACTACCATATTCCACACTTCCCTTCTGTTCAGTTCGTGACTATGCCTAGGTGGGAATCTTGCCTAAATTTGTCCTTGACAGAACTGATAATTTTCTGTTTTGATTTATTTAATTAGGTTTCTCAGGCCACTTATGCCAGGTTATTTTTTAATGCCTGCTATGCTTGAACAGTTGGCCTTGAAGGCTGACTGTTGAGCAAAACATTTCCAGAGGAGATGGTCCTGAAAACAGAGGATGGCATTCTTCGTAATCTCCACAGGTGTCTTATCCTTCCTAGCTTCAGAAGAAGGATAGTGAGGTTTTTAAAGCAAGCAAATGTTTTCCTCTCCCAAACACGAGAGCTAATTTTTCTGCCTTCCTTAAATCAGCCTAGCATGTTTGGAAGAATATTGGCTGTGGGGCCCATCTCTCTGTGCTGATGCTGTGATTTGCCTCTTTTAAGAATTTTATTAAGTTAAATATTTCTTTAAATTAATTTTATTCAGAGCAGATGAATTTCAGGTTGCCGTTATACCTTGTGATATCTAAAATGGCATGACAATATTTATAGATTTATTCCCTTTTTCTTTCTTTCTTTTTATTCACTTCCTTGCAAGTCCCCCACCCCCATCCTTATCTACATTTATACCTTTGGTCTGATTTTCAGCCTGTTGAAACAGCTTTGTGCAAATAAAAAAAATTCAGTTCATCAACTTAGTAGCTCATCTCCACTATAACTTAAGCCTTAAAAATAGGCATTTCCATGTTAGAAATCAAAGAATATGATACCACTTTGTGATACTAATTTTGCAACCCACAGTCCCTCCCCCACCTTGTAAAACACACCAACACCTAACCCCAATGTATACTATAGGTTATTACTCCCAGCATTCTGACTTTGCAAATAGAGTTAGCCACACACAATGATTTATGTACAGGCAGTCTTCAACATATGACCACAATTGAGCCCAAAATTTTTGTTGTTATGTCTGTTGAGACATTTGTTAAGTAATTTTTGCCCCATTTTATGACCTTTCTTGCCTCATTTGTTAAGTGAATTACTGCAGTTAATAAGTTAGTAACCCGGTTGTTAAATGAATCTGGCTTCTCCATTGACTTTGCTTGTCAGAAGGTTGCAAAAGGTGATCACATGACCTTGGGACACAGCAACGGTCATAAATATGAACCAGTTGCCGAGCATCTGAATTTTGATCACGTGACCATGGGGACGCTGCAAGGTCGTAACTGCGAAAAACTGTCATAACTCACTTTTTTCAGTGGCGTTGTAACTTTGAGCGGTCACTAAATGAACTGTTGTAAGTCGAGGACTACCTGTATTTCTTCATTCCTGGCTCACTTCAGGAAAGTGGAACGCAAGCAGCAGTCATATCCAACTGGATGTGTTTTTTGTAACAATGTTCATTACGTATTGCAAAAAAAACCAAACATAAAAATATTTCAAAATCATTGTGCCCATTCAAGTAATCAGTTATAACGAGTTGAAATTGTGTATCAGGTAATGAAAACCAAAAAATAAAGCAACAAATGGTGTATAGCCTGGTAAAGATGCCATCGTATCTGTGGTCATTTATGTTATATTCATCCTTGGTGGGATAAGCTCTGATGATAGTAATACACAGGTGTTATTTTTCTTTTCAAAAGAAGTGAGATATAATACCTACTTGATGAAATGATGAAACTATAAGATTGCATAGTGTGGAATGAAACATGTTGCAGCCATCAGAATTTAAAATAGAATAGAATTTAAATAGAAAAATAGAATTTAAATAGAAAAATAGAATTTAATATACAATTTAAAAATAAAAAGAACATAGGAAGCCCTTGATCTGCCCCCCCTCCTTTAGCCTCCCTTTGAACTTCTGGAAACATACAATCTTAACATTTAGACGAATACTTCATCACTGGCTCCATCAAAGAATTCCCTCAGGGGTGTCAAACTGCCGGCCCATGGGCCGGTTTCATCATACTGAAGCCACGCCCACCCCAATGCAAGAGTCGCGATATGTCGCGACACGTGACAAGGCAAGTTTGACAGCCGTGCCTCAAGGGAAGACGCCAGATCCCCTCGCAATAATCCACATTTAGGGAGAATCCTCCTTCCTGGACTTCACACATCCTCAGGGCAATACACCTCAGGATCAAAGTCCAGGGCAGGAGCATCTCAATCTGCGTATCCAAACATCAAAGCCTGCTTGTCATTATATATACACCTCTACTGGTAGACCCCTAACAAGGTAGACTACCTCCAACCATTGTAGGTGGTTGAATGAATAAACTCTACTTTTAGCAGCTACCCCTTTGGGTTTATTGCATATTATATGATTACTCATGACCCAGCTCAGAAAATCAGACCAAATAAATTCTTCTAATACTGCCTATTTAGAAATATATCCCTTTCACTTTCCCCAGTTTATGCTGTCTCAGCAATTCAGGAGTACTTGTTGCTGCAGAATGATGCTCAGATATAAATGGCTCATCATCACTAGCTCAGTTGGAGAATCTGAAAAACGATTACCCAAACCTGCATATGCATCTGTAGAAGCTCCAGGCATTTCCTAATTGA